TATTATTCATTGATTTATCCCTATCTTATTTACTGTGTAGAGGTATGGGGTAACACTTACTGGTGCTGGTCATAAAATTAGAATATCATGACTATATAAAAATGACTGAGTTGATTTATTTCAGTAATTCTAATTAAAAAGTGAAACTTGTGTATTAGATTACACACACACACACACACACACACACACACACACACACACACACACACACACACGCACACACACACGCACACACACACACACATGCTCCGGTTAAATTGGAAATAGAGTAATGCTTAAGAAACAAGCTTAGTTATATAAATGGGTGTTTAATAATTGTTTCAACTAAGTATCTTTAGTTACTGTAACTATGTAACTAGTACATTCAACATTGAACTTGTTTTCCTGCATGCTTCATTACTTGAAAATTTTAAAGAGCAAGTCGCCAACTACCTGAGTCTTACTACACTCCCACTTCCTGTTAGAAAAATGCCAACAAATGCTGTTGCCTGGCAGACCGAGAGGGTGGATCCACTAACAAGCACACACACACAGGCTCACAATGACATTGTGACATTGTAATGTACCAGCTAACGTCATAGTGTACCTCTTAGCCAATAGCGATGACAGATTTAAATTCAAATGCAGAGGTTTTACCCGAAGACGGAGCAACACTGACAGTTTTAGGTAGGGATGTCCTGATCAGGTTTTTTTGCCCCTGAGTCCGAGTCATTTGATTTAGAGAATCTGCCGATGCAGAGTCCCGATCAGATACTTTTGATGCATTAAAAAAATAAGAAGAAGAAACAGTTCCAGAATGTTTCTTATTTTTTATTTAATTACCTTTTTATTTTAATTTTTAACAACAGATCACTTCTGTGAGGTAGCTTGAACAGTCAAGTAATAAATAACAAATTCTTCACTTTTGGACTTTATTGCAAATATAAAAAGTCTAATATAAAAACAGATAGCACTTCAACTTAAAATACCTGGCAGGGGTCCAATTTGCCTCGGCCCCCCAAAATGCTTAGATCGTCCCATGCCCAGGGACGGAGTTTTGAAGATGATCTGAATTGTGTCAACTATGTAAATACTACATGCTGATAAATTATTGCTTTATACAGGTACAAACGTGTAGCGGGATCAATCTACCTACATTTTATTTTTTTTAAGAACTTTGTTTAGTTTCCTTGGTTTTTATTTTCCTATCTTCCTGTCCTGTCTGTCTCTGATCTTCCTGCATCTCCCAGTCCACCAGAAACACTCCTGCCTGCTTCCTTCTTTTTCACCTCACAAGTAACTTTTTAACTAGCAGATCAAATTGATCTATTGACTGCTAAAAAAGCTGTGTGCGCCACGCTGCACGGCTGCGCCAGTGACGAGCGCTGCAGCGCGAACACACGTCATGCTCAAATACAGACAGAACTTACCAGAGAGAAAATGAACGGACACGAGTGACTGTGTGTTAGTTGTATATTTTTTGGTGACGCCACTTAGAAACTTAGAAAATGTTACTGTGGCCGTGTGCAGAACGCAGCTGGAGTTCATGAATCATCAGCGGTCTGCCTGCTGCTCTGCATCTCTGCCCAAAAGAATCCCCGTTTCTCTGAGTCCATATCAATAATATAATATAATATAATATAATATAATATAATATAATATAATATAATATAATATAGGTAGAAACTGGATCTTTTTTGTGCTCCTTCTGGGTGTGTAAGTTAAGGGCATCAGGGGAGCCTGACAACCTTTAAGGAGAACCAAGTTGCTCTCCTGTAATTTGAACCCAGTATCCAACTCTGGATCGGGGCTTGGATCGGGAAGTAAAGCCTGAGTCCTGATCAGTCTGAAACCACGTGATCGGTGCCGATTTCCGATCATGTGATCGGATCGGGACATCCCTAGTTTTAGGCAGAATAAAGTGCCAAATGGACTACATGTGTCTACAGCACGATTAGACAGTCATTTATATAGTTTATCAGCAAAAGAAAGTTGATTTGGGAGTGACTTGCTCTTTAAGGCAACGAGTTACCGGGAAATTTTCTAGTAAACTGTACTTATCCGGGTTCTCAGTGTAGAATTACTGAAATAAATCAACTTAGTCATGATATTCTAATTTTATGGCCAGCACCTGTATAAAACATCTATTGTACCCTTGTCTATCATACAGAAAAGAGCCCTGAGAGTCGTTCACAATGTTAGATTTAGAGACCACACTAATCCGTTATTTATATATTCTAAAATACTAAAATTTAAAGATTTAATTCAGCTATATGCAGCGACATTCATGTTTAAAGTGCATAGGAAATTATTACCACACAAATTATTAATGCTATTTATAAAACCAGATACCGTATATAATTTCAGATACAAACTTAACTTTAGGCATACATATTTTAGAACAACAATAAAGTCATTTTGTATTTCTGTTACGGGTGTAAGAGTTTGGAATAAGCTAAGTGAGGATCTAAAGCAAAGTCCCTCATTGCATAAGTTTAAAGAGAAGTATAAAAAAATTATACTAATTAATTACATGGAGGAGGAGGAAAAGTTGTAAGGGTGTTGCATTTGATTGTAATTGTTTATTGTTGGTGAACTGGGAGCTGTGAACATGGCGGGGGGGGGGGGGGGGGGGGGGGGGGGGGGGGGTTGAAACATGAGAAAATGTAAATTTGGTTTGTGTGATTGAGGATAAAACATGTTATAGGAAAATGGCAATGACACTCAGTGTAGGGAAAAATATATATATTTTTTGTTTTGTCTTTCTTGAAATTTGATTTGGGGGGGATTATATAAGCTACCAGAGCTTCGTTCCCTTCCCATTGAACATGTTCTACATGTGTATATGTATGTATATATATGTATATATATATATATATATATATATGTATATATGTATATATATATATATATATATATATATATATATATGTATATATGTATGTATGTATGTATGTATGTATGTATGTATGTGTGTATGTGTATATATGCATATACATATGTGTGGGTTTCTTTTTGGATACTTTTTGAATGCTTTGGGTTGTCTATTGATTTGCATGCATGTTCAATAAAGAAAGAAAGAAAGAAAAAAAAAAGTGGAGACTCCTTGGACGCTCTATTAGTGCAATTAATGCCACAGCAAGTAATTTTGTCCAACTATTGCTCAAATAATATGCAAAAAAGAATACAAACGCTAATGGTCTACGTTGAGAGACTGAAAATGGCGGAACAGTTTTCAGGCGAGGCCGAGGCTCAGACTGAGGCCTTTCCCCGGAGCTAGCTCTGTGGTCACGTGGGTCGGATGCTCATTAATTATACAGAATTTTAGGCTTTTAACACACTTAAACAGAAGAGTGAGAAAAAAATTCACCCCCCTCAGAGTTGTCATGAGTGTAAACTAGATCATTTAAACAAAAAACATGTTTTGGTACCAGGCTGTAAACATGTTTATTTCTGCTGTGAAATTGGTATTTTTAACATGGGAGTCAATGAGGATTTGCTCGCTTCTGACACCAGCCCCTAGTGGATGAGGGTGGAACTGCAATTTTTTTCACTTCCACATTGGCCTCAATTTCTGTCCCGCATTGTGGGGGCTTGTCTCAGACCCACAAAAACCTACGGATCTGGATGAAGAGAGTCAATCCCCAACTGCCGCAGCAGTCGAGGGTTTTGCCGCTGGAAATGCTAACACTAATGTTAGCTAAATTTGCAACACTATAGATGGTTTTCTGTGTGGCTGTATGTGTTTATGATTTCATGGAAAAGTCAGTGATTGTTCACATGTTTATGATGTATATTAATGATTGTTTCAGGTGTTGTTGAGGTTTTGTGCATGCATGTGTATCTGCTAGTGTTGAAGGTGTTTTAGAGAACAATAGGTACGCATGACCACTTCCTTCATAGCACCCTCAATAAAAAGACCAGCTCCTTCATTGCACCTGCAGAAAAACATTTCTGGAGCCGCCACTGCTTACAGCAGGGGATAACCGTATTAATGTATTACTGTAAATAAAACAAAAAACGCCAATTGACACCTGAGCCAAAATGCTGGATTCAAACTCATGTTATCTGCATCTAAGTCCGGTGTCTTACTAGTTCAGCTATTCTTTTGACATTTGAGTATTGATCATACTCCTCAGGACCTGAGGGGCGGAGCGGAGCGTGTGACATCACTAACCCAGTCAGTTTTAGGCAGCATTTTTTCCTCTGCCACTGATTCACAGCAATTTGAACTCAGAAATACTCAGATATGCAATTTTGAGCTTAAATTTCTTTAGATGTGTCCTGCAGCACAAGACAGATGCCTCAAGAATATGTTAAAAACACGATTTCCACTGGAGTGGGTCTTTTAAGTGACAGTGATATGTAGATCTGTCAGGATTTAGAGTCACAAGCTAAGCCAGGAGATTGGTGTAGGAGACTATTTTCATGTTCAGCCTGCATGGAAAACTCAGTGACCCAGCACAATCAGAAATAATCATTAAAAATGAGTTTTCAGTGTTCCACACATGTAGAGGGGAGTGAATCTGGGCGTAAATAGAAAATTTAGGCTTTTTTCAAATTTAAGATGATCTGAAGTCATGTTAGTTACTTTTGCAGCATAGAACTTCCTTTAAGCCTTCATAATAAGAGTCTGAATCACCTACCTCAAATAATTTGAAGCTCATCGGATAAGTTATTGATGAGATGTTCTGCCGTTAGAGGTGCCCTCTTTTCAATCACAAGCTTTATTGTGATGTCTTTTCTGGAAATATTTTCCCATAAAATCTCATTTTGGCCACTAGGGGGCAGTAGACAGTTTCTGATCTTTTAACTTTCTGCCCTTTTACATAAAACTGAGGCCCGTTTTCACTCCGAGCTGAGTCAGAACATCCTGTTGGAGGTATTCTCATTTTCCTGGCGTTTAACTTCAGTCACCTGCAGTTCACAGCATTTAGCACCGAGAGGTGATGCTGTTTATTAGTGCTGCTTGTTTAGAGGAGAAGTGGAAGGGCTTTTCCGTTTGGCACCAAGACTCACAGTGGAGCAGAAAAACATTTTTATTAGCCGTTTGGCACATTTAGACTTCACTCTTTAACAAAGCTGGCATTTCAAACATCTGGATAAAATTTAGAAGCACAAGTTAAATAATTGCCTTTTCTGCATTTAAATAAAACTTTGCGTCAAACTGTACAAAAACAAACATTAAAATAAAATCTGCGTCCTACAGCATCGTCCAGTGGAGAGGTAGACATCAGGACACATGTACGGTGGCCCAGAGAGCTCAAACAGAAAAACAAGCTAAAGTTACGTTTTACTTGCACAAAACATTGAAATAATTTAAACAAAGTAAATTTACATGTTCAAGTGTCTGTTGACATTCAGGAACCACTGACTCATATGTTGGTTTCTCTGTAGTCTGAGCTAAAAGAGTCTCTGATGGACAACAGGCTAGCAGCTAGAAGATGTCCACTGACTCTGCTGTGCCACTCCTGAGACCGACCCCTGCAACAGACGGGAGGGTCAAAGGTCACATTAGTGATAACAGAAGGTCAGAGGCAGTGGTGTTTCGCCTCATCCTGTGAAATGGTAAAAGTTCTGACCTGGTGTCGGTTCTGCAGACGTGTGTCAGTCGGGTCTTGATGGCTCCTGTGGGCTCCAGCAGGTAGAGACTGGAGTGAATGTGGGACCTGATTCCCTGCACCTGAACGTCCGGATGCTCCGTTGAGACGGAGGACAGGAACAGTGGACCAGAAGACGGGTCGGACTGCCAGGTTCTGAACAGGTGAGGACAGAAGGGTGTTACTCAACTCTGTTCCAGGCAGGAGCAGCATGGACTCTGTACCCCATTACCTGAGCAGCAGGTGTTCCTGCAGGGGCTGGGACCCCAGGCTGTGGCCCCGCCCCCTGAGAAGGTACCAGTACACCTCCATGTCCTTGGACAACGTCTGGATGACAGCAGCCTGGTGCAGGCGTTCCTCCCACAGGTGGTGCTCCCTCAGCAGCCGCTGTAGCAACGCATGCTGGGGAGCGTTCACCTCCACAGAACCTCGCCACATCCACAGGGGACAGCTGTCCCTCATCTGAGGACAACAGAAAACATCCTTTAGTCTACTAAAACTAGCTGGTGCTGCAGGAAATGAAAAGATTTTGTTTAGCATGTTTAAAACACATCTGTTCCACCTTTCTGTAGGACAGATCCACATGTTCTGGACCCAGGTGGTTCTCCCAGACCGGGCCTTGTTCCCAGACCTCTTTCAGGAGCTGCTGGGTGCTCAGCTGCAGCCTGATCTGTTCCTCCCTCCCCTCATCCTGACTAGACTGAGCCGCTGGCCCTCGAAGATCTTCACGGTGGGAATCCTCCGTTGAACCCGGAGCAGCCAGACTCCGATCGGGCCAAAACTCTGGAAGCTACAAAGCAGAATTTCTTCACTCAGACAAGAAACATTAGCTGGTTTGTGTCCGTAGAGAAATCTGGACTCACCTGGAAAAGCCTCCGGGCCTTGGAGATCATGCTGGCCAGACCCTGAGTGGCAGCGAGGTTCTCGCTCAGGTCCCGCTGGTCCGGACGGCACAGACTGTACTTCATGTGACCCGACCTACAAAACCCACAGAGACCAGTGGGTCAACTCAATGTTTGGTGTTTTAATCATGATTATTAAATCCAGAGTGAAGTCGGGGAGGTTCTGTTGTTTTCCAAGGTTAAACATGAAAACAGCTTTTTATCGGCAGCTCCGTCGTTCCTGTGAGCTGAATCAGGTTCAGATGGGACGAGAGCTGTTTGGAAACATGACTCCTAATGATGCAGCGGCAGGAAGAGAAACATCAGGATCTAAAAGCTTTGAGCAAAACTAGGAATTTACCATTGTAGCTTTTTAACAGGTTTAAACAAAAATAATTCCTTATTTCATCTGGTGCCTATCCACCAGTAAAACGAGGTGTTTGGGACAGAACCGACTCAGAACCTCTGATCTTCTCCCTCTTTCATTTCAGGCCAAACAGAACATCACAACTCTTATGAAACATTTCTGTAACTCTGTTTAAATGGGTCACACCCCCTTTAGAAGTGATCCGACTCCATGAGCAGAACCTGGCTTCGCGATTGGTCCGTGGCCTGGCCTCACCTGGCTGCATTGGTGTCCCTCTTTAAGGTGTTGAGGTGGAACAGTGAGGGCGCCAGGCAGACGGCGATGTTGGTGGGGGTCATCTGATTCTCTTCCACACAGGACACCACATCGCTCAGGAAGAAGAGCATCAGTCTCAGAGCTTCTCTGTTCTCATCTGGGAGCAACAAAATGGCTGCCTGACTCGCCACCATTTGCTGATCCTTCGGAAAATCTGAAAGCAGGTTTTGATTTTCATGACTTATAATGTGGTAAATGGCCTGAATTCTATGGTTTAAGAAACACTCCATGGCTCTTCGTAGCGGTGATTCACATGCTGGTGGTGATGTAGCAACAGCTGCCATGCGGCACACTGACAGGTGAGGCTGCCGAGCACAGGTGCCACTATGTGTCATAGGACTGTATTAAAAACATCATAATGTCATGAAAATGGATACTATACTATAGTGCATGCTAAAATTAATATATATAAAAAAAATACCCATCATACTATGTATAATGAAAATTTATTTAAAAAAAAGTAACATGTCATGAAAATATCTACAAAACATGATACTATAGTATGTATCATCAAATGTATACCAAAGATCATACTATAGTATGTATCATCAAATGTAAACCAAAGATCATATTAGTATGTGTCCTAAAAATTTGTCATTGTACTATAGTTTGTGTCATGAAGATGCATTATATCATACTATAGTATGTATCATCAAATATATACAAAAGATCATACTATAGTATGTATCATCAAATGTAAACCAAAGATCATATTAGTATGTGTCCTAAAAATTTGTCATTGTACTATAGTTTGTGTCATGAAAATGCATTATATCATACTATAGTATGTATCATCAAATATATACAAAACATCATAGTATAGTATGTGTCCCAATATATACAAAATATACTATAGTGTGTCATGAAAATGTATACAAAACATCATACTATAGTATGTATCATAAAATGTATACAAAACTTCATACTATAGTATGTGCCATGAAAATTGATACAAAACGTCATACTATAGTATGTGTCATCAAATGTATACAAAACATCATACTATAGTATGTGTCATGAAAATTGATACATACTATAGTATGTGTCCCAATATATACAAAACATCATACTATAGTATGTCCTAAAAATTTATTAAAAAACATCATACTATAGTATGTATCATGAAAATGTATACAAAACATCATACTATAGTATGTATCATGAAAATGTATACAAAACATCATACTATAGTATTGATCATGACATGTATACAAAACATCATACTATAGTATGTATCATCAAATGTATAAAAAAAAAATCAAAACAGTATGTATCATCAAATGCATACAAAACATTGTACTATAGTATGTGCCCCTATATATACAAAACATCATACTATAGTATGTGTCCTAAAAATTTATTTAAAAAAATCATACTAAAGTATGTGTCACAAAAAATGTATACAAAACATCCTACTATAGTATGTCATGAAAATGCATACAAAATATCATACCATAGTATATATCATCAAATGTATACAAAACATACTACTGTACTGTTTGTATCATCAAATGTATACAAAACATCATACTATAGTATGTATCCTGAAATGTATACAAAACATCATACTATAGTATGTATCATAAAATGTAAACAAAACATATTATAGTATGTGTCATGAAAATGAATACAAAATTTCATACTATAGTAGGTATCATAAAATGTATACAAAACATATTATAATATGCGTCATGAAAATGAATACAAAACATCATACTAAAGTATGTATCATAAAATGTACACAAAACATCACAAAATAGTATGTGTCATGAAAATTGATACAAAACATTAAACGTATGTATCATCAAATGTATACAAAACATTGTACTATAGTATGTGTCCCAATATATACAAAACATCATACTATAGTATGTGTCCTAAAAATTTATAAAAAAAAAATCATACTATAGTATGTATCATGAAAATGTATACAAAACATCATACTATAGTATGTATCATGAAAATGTATACAAAACATCATACTATAGTATGTATCATGACATTTATACAAAACATCATACTATAGTATGTATCATCAAATGTATACAAAGAAGTCAAACCATAGTATGTATCATCAAATGCATACAAAACATCATACTATAGTATGTGCCCCTATATATACAAAACATCATACTATAGTATGTGTCCTAAACATTTATTATAAAGCATCATACTATAGTATGTGTCACAAAAATGTATACAAAACATCCTACTATAGTATGTCAAGAAAATGTATACAAAACATCATACTATAGTATGTATTATCAAATGTATACAAAACATACTATAGTACTGTATGCATCATCAAATGTATACAAAAAAAGTATACAAAACATCATACTATAGTATGTATCATGAAATGTATACAAAACATCATACTATAATATGGATCATAAAATGTATACAAAACATATTATAGTATGTGTCATGAAAATGAATACAAAACATCATACTATAGTAGGTATCATAAAATGTATACAAAACATATTATAGTATGTGTCATGAAAATGAATACAAAACATCATACTAAAGTATGTATCATAAAATGTATACAAAACATCATACTATAGTATGTGTCATGAAAATTGATACAAAACATTAAACGTATGTATCATAAAATGTATACAAAACATGATACTATATTATGAATCATCAAATGTATACAAAACATCATACTATAGTATGTGTCCCAAAATATGCACAACATACTATAGTATGTGTCCTAAAAATTTATAAAAAATATATCATATTATTGTATGTGTCATGAAAATGTACACAAAACATAATACTATAGTATGCATCCTAAAAATTTACAAAAAACCCATCATGCTATGTAGTATGTGCCATGAAAATGTATACAAAACATCATACAAGGTTGAGTCCTAAAAATGTATAAAAAACATCATACTATATAATATGTATCATGAAAATGGATACAAAACATCATACTAGTATGAGAGTTCTAAAAATTTATAAGAAAAAGGTCATACTATAGTATGTATCATCAAATGAATAGAAAACATGATACTATAGTATGTATCATCAAATGTATACAAAACATCATACTAATATGAGTCCTTAAAATTAATTAAAAACACACCATACTATAGTATAGTAATATTGTACTATAGTATGTGTCCCATTATATACAAAACATATGTATGTGTCCGAAAAATTTATAAAAAATACATCATACTATGTATGTGTCATGAAAATGAACACAAAACATAATACTATAGTATGCATCTTAAAAATTTACAAAAAAAAAACCCATCATGCTATGTAGTATGTGCCATGAAAATGTATACAAAACATCATACAAGTATGAGTCCTAAAAATGTATAAAAAAATCATACTATATAATATGTATCATGAAAATGGATACAAAACATCATACTAGTATGAGTCCTAAAAATGTATTAAAAAACATCATACTATATAGTATTAGTCCTAAAATAAAATAAAAAACATCATACTATAGTATGTGTCATGAAAATGGAAACAAAACATCATACAAGTATGAGTCCTAAAAATGTATAAAAAAACATCATACTATAGTATGAGTCCTAAAATAAAAAAAATACATCATGAAAATGGAAACAAAACATCATACTAGTATGAGTCCTAAAAATGTATAAAAAATCATACTATAGTACATGTGATTAAAATGTATACAAAACATCATACAAGTATGAGTGCTAAAAATGTATAAAAACATCATACTATAATATGTATCATGAAAATGGATACAAAACATCATACTAGTATGAATCCTAAAAATGTATAAAACAAACCCCATCATACTATATAGTATGAGTCCTAAAATAAAAAAAAACATACTATAGTATGTGTCATGAAAATGGAAACAAAACATCATACTAGTATGAGTCCTAAAAATTTATTTAAAAAATCATACTATAGTAAGTGTGATGAAAATGTATACAAAACATCATACTATAGTACGTGTCATGAAAATGTATACAAAACATACTATATAGTACACGTCCTAAAAAATTATTTAAAAAAAATCGTACTATATAGTATATGTCATCAAATGTATAAAAACATCATAGTATAGTATGTGTCAAGCATATATATATATATATATATATATATATATATATATATATATATATATATATATATATATATATATATATATATATATATATGTATTTTATATATATATATATATATGTATGTATTATATATATATATATGTATTTTATATATATATATATATATATATATATTATATATATATATATATATATATATATATATATATATATATTAGTGGTGGGCATAGATTAATTTTTTTAATCTAGATTAATCTCACTGTAATCTTGGAATTAATCTAGATTAATCTAGATTAAAATGGCACATTCACATTTTGCCAAAGGCATATGTGTGTGCTACCTAGATAATGAATAAAAGCAAGTCTTTTAGAATGGAGGCGTATTTCTTGTTTCAGTAATGCATCACAGACTGATAAAGCAGTTTTACTATGATAACTGATGATGAAAATAAATAATTAACTATTTACAGTCAGTAGCATTTGGTCAATCAGTCCGAGCTCTATTTCTCCTTCTTCCACCAGTCACTCAAGCAGACCAGCTTGTTCACATTGTCTGGTGACAAACTAGTTCTTCTCTTCTACACAATATGGCCTGCTAAAGAAAAGAGTATATAGATACACACACACACACACACACACACACACACACACACACACACACACACACACACACACACACACACACACACACACACACACACACACACACACACACACACACACACACACACACACAGAAACTATCTGGCCTGGGGAGGGGGTTAAATTTCTGGGGTGCCCTTCCAATGCCCCCCTTTAGTTTGCATGTAGGAGCGCCTCTGGTGAATAGGAGCGAGAGCTGGAAATGATGCCACAGCTCACCTGTATGAGCAGAAGCCAACTGTTGCTGTTGTTGCCTCTGAAAATGGCAAGGGGAGTTATCCTAGCTCAACTTTTCTAAATAAATATAAGAATTTATGAGTAAAAAGTTTATTATTACAGGTAAATTTGAGTCGAAGCCACATGAACAACAACCTGTAGAAACAATTTATCACTTTATCACAATAAACAGCTGCTAAAATAGCTAAACTTAGTTGGAAACAGCACCTGTCTGAGAAAGTCTTGTCTCGGTTTTCTCACATCCGAGCGCTGCTTCGGCCGCGGACGGTGAAGTGTGGCCCGGGGAAAGCCCGGCTGGAAATGTCGGGGGTAAACAAAACAAAATAAAAAAGAATGAAAGTCAGATTTATGGATTAAACTCTGGTGAAAGTACATAAATTATTTACGATCCCGCGCGATGAGATGGGAGAAGCGCTGCTGGTGGCGACGGTGCGACTGTTCGGCTGCATGGGGAACATTAACCTCCGCGAGCCTGGCGTCCGTCCATACGTACGATGATCCGCGCCGAGTACACGTCCGCGCCAACCAGTTATCCATCCGCACAATGTGAAAGTCATCATAGTTTACTTAGTATAGACCCAGATCCCAGCCCAACTTTGAGAATAGATTAACGGCGTCATTTTTTTTATCGCGCGATAAGAGTCTGGCTTTGCCGCAGCGCGTTAACGCCAATAACGGCCCACCCCTAATATATATATATATATATATATATATATATATAATAAAAAAATTAATTCTATATTATGTCAGTTGAAAGGTAAAAAGGAGAAACCCTTACATGATCCATGCATCAGGAATGACTTTGAAGACTTATTCTCTCATTCTAAATCTTTAAGCTGGTTTTCTTATGTCCAGGGAATATTTGTAATAACATACAACATGAACACATATTTAAGTATGTGATCATAAATATATTGAACTAATTAAATATGTGTGTTTCAGCATATATGTTACTATGTCTTTATTAACATTGTGAATGAACACAAACATGTTAATGTATGGGTATGAATCCATATTTAAGTTTGCCATCATCATCATCATCAACTTTTATTTATAAAGCACATTTAAACGGCGACAACCTCAACCAAAGTGCTGTGCAAGACAATACATCACCAAACTAAATACAGCAGCATAAAATAGAGAAAACAAATAAAAACTATAAAAACAACCAAACAGGTGTAACGATAAATTTTACATATTATTTAGTGAACCATAAAATGTGAGATTCCATAGGAAATATGAAATCAATCTTATGGATCTCTGGATCATTTAAACCAGAAGATTGGAACTTTTTATTGCAGGGATTATGTAACCACTTCGTATTAACTCAGAGACAAAAGAAAGAGAGTCAAGTTTCAACAGTTTAAAGATTTATTACTAAATAAATTAAACAAGACTAACTTTAAACACTAGGTGTATGGTGTAACTAAGGTGAAGTAAGACTGAGGATGGTGTATGTGGGAAATATGTTCAGAACCAGCAAATCCGTAGAAACGATTAGTTCTGATGGGAGTGAAGATGATGTTTCGCTCTAAGCTTTGGTTTGGAGATTTATAACACACATTGAGACGCCATTTTGTCAGTCTATGTACCCTTTGCGGAAGTCCCCGTTAGATCAGGAATGTCGAGGTCCAGCTTGACCTTCTCTGGAACCGAAGCCGGTAGAAAGGCAGCGGTTGCTGACCAGACCAGTCTTGAGATACTCCCAGGTCACGACAGTTTATTGGCATCTAGCAAGACCCAAAAAGGGGTCGTGATGGTTCAGCTTTTATTCTGAAAGTAACCATTGCAGCAGGTGGAACATGCAACAGATTTAATACAGCTTGTCGTTAGGTTCTTTCGGCTGAAGAGGAAAGTTACGGATTGGCCACTCCGATAACTTCTCTAGAACGCTTTGAACTCAAGTTAAGATGACGTGGGCATAATTTTATAATTTGGATGTTTTGATTTACGGTCGAATCAAAAAAGGACAACAAGAGGGGATTTACCAAGCACCAACAAAACCACGACTCGCATCAGATCTAGAAGGTTCTGATTGGATCAGAAAAGGGAAATGCGTCATGTGACTTTAAGCATTAAGTGGATGAGAATGTCTAGTGTCTAGTTTACAGTCATATTACTTATTAAAATACTACTGATCGTAAACATTATCGTTTCACAAATTGGTTCACATTTTATTATTGAACTAACACTTTGTTTGATTAGCTTATTAAAAATAGAGAAAGAGTTCTTTGATTTATTATTATTTAAAGGGAAAGAGTTCTGTCTTCTTTCTTCTTTCTCGTGGAATAGGCCTGTGCCAGTAACTTATGGTTTTGCTTGGGCAGAGCAAATAGAGCAGGGTCTTTTAGGTCAGAAATGGACAATTCATCACGCTACACAGGAAAGCACAAGGGTTAAACAGTCTCAGCCGGGATGGCCAGGGAATAGAAATATGTCTTTAAACATACTTTAAAAGTGGGAAGGGAGGGGGCAAGTTGGACCGTCAGGGGGAGTTGGTTCCAAAGTTTAGGCGCACAAACTGAAAAAGCCCGTTCGCCATGGGCCATCAAGCAGAAGGTTGGTTAGAGGACCTTAGGGTTCACGCTGAAACATAGGGGCTTAAAAGATGTGCCAAATAAGAGGGGGCCATTTCATGAATAGATGTGTAAACCAACAGGATAATTTTTAACTTAATCTGATACCGAACTGGATGCCAGTGTAAATTAGCCAAAACAGGGGTGATATGCTGCCGTCGGTCTATGCCAGTAAGAAACCTTGCTGCAGCGTTCTGTCCCAATTGGAGGCATACCACTGAAGAGGAGGGAATACCATATGAGAGTTGGCGTAGTCCAGACGTGACGTTACAAAAGCATGAAGAACTGACTGAAGATCTTTTTTGTTCAGGACAGATATTAGTTTGGCCAGCCGGCGAAGATGAAAGAAACACGATCTGATTACCTGGTTTATCTGTGCATCCATTTTAAAAAAAGCGTCCAGAGTGACCCCCAAATTTGTAATTGTTGGCTTCACCAAAACTGACAATGAAGGGAGCAGAGATGGCTCCACAGCAGAGGGGGAGCAGGGGGCAAAGAAAATAGCCTCCGGTTTGGAGCGGTTAAGATGGAGAAAATTAGCCGAGAGCCAGGATCTGACTTCACTCAGGCAGTCAGTCAGTGGTTGCACAGGATCAGCAGTTTTTAGGGCCACATAAAGCTGACAATCGTCAGCATAGAGATGAAAATGTACCCAGAATTTTCTAAAAGTTGCTGCCAAAGGTAAAATATATAGATTAAAAAGAAGCTGACCTAAAACGGACCCCTGGGGAACCCCACAAAAAAGAGGTGCCACTCTAGAGGCGCAATTCCCCAGGGCAACAATAAAACATCTGCATTTGAAATAGGAGCAGAACCACTCTAAAGCTGTTCCACGAATGCCAATTAACTGCTCCAGTCGCTGTAATAGGATTGCGTGGTCGACAGTGTTAAAAGCGGCAGTTAAGTCTAAAAGCACCAACAACACATGAGAACCAGAATCAGAGGCAAGCATAATATCGTTAAAAACACGAATAAGAGCAGTCTCAGTGCTGTGGTGAGGCCGAAAACCAGACATAAAAATGTCTAAAACATTGTTGGATTTAAGGAAATTAAAAATCTGGATAAAAACCATCTTCTCCAACAATGTGTGTATGAACACAGATGCATGTCCTTATCCACCTTATTTCTAGTCCCCATGAGCCCTTGTGTCAAATATATACCGTAATTTCCGGACTATAGAGCGCACCTCAATATAAGCCGCACCTACTAAGTTTTTAAAAACACATGGAACGGTACTTATATAAGCCGCACTGGGCTAAAAGCCGCAGATATCTACCGGATATCTACTGAATTGAAAACGTAGTTTAACTGAACGTAACTGAACTGATCAGTATCAAACAAAACAGAAAAGTTATTGATTAGTTTATTCATCGTCCTCCTGCGCACTGAAACCACTGAAGTCATCTTCTTCAGTGTCGGAGTTGAACAGCCTCAGAAGAGTTTCGTCACATACCTTTTCTGTGGCGATGTCAGTGTCGCTGTCCGTGTTGCTGTCATCATCCCGGGGTGAAGCTGGCTTGAATGAGTTCTTCCCGCTGCCGTCTCCAGTGCCGAACCATGGATTCATTCATGCCAAGCTTACGTGCAGCAGCGCTGTTTCCCTCCTTTACTGCCAGATCGATGGCCTTCAACTTAAATGTGGCATCATATGAACTCATACGTGTAGTTTCCATGATGAGGGGGCATGGATTTGAAAAATTAAAATGAGCACTTTCTTCGATTTCCACTTTTGACTTCCACCTGTTTCACTTTCTGCTAAAGCGCCCCCTGGCAGGTGAAGGAAAATCTTCAGTAAAGCCACACCTCATTATATGCTGCGTGGTTCAAAGCGTGGGAAAAAAAGTAGCGGCTTATATTCCGGAAAATACGGTAACTGATTTCTGGCTTGGCGTCGTATTGAGTGGAGACCATAGATGGCTGATGCGATCCGTTCGTGCTAATCCACTTTCTACTGCCTTTTTAGAGACGTAAACTACGTAGGAACACTAGCTGTCACAACTCAGACGGACACGTTACAAACCCTCTGCCTACTGCAATAGAGGGTTGGAGGACGATATGAAAACGTGTCCAAAGCTAACATACGATAACATTTTTGCTACTTTCCTTACTCTGTTGCATCTGATGGCGAGACAATGAACTATCTTAAACGTTTTGAGGCTTATAAATACCTACAGGGTAATAAAGTTGGTTGTTGAAAGAGATGGGACACAATCTTATTTCCTTAAAAGCAGACATCACATGTGTGCATGTATGTGATTAAACACGTATGTGTGTGTGAACAGACACTCACATCCTGTAAAGATGTTTCGTGTGGTTTTTGCTCACATGTGTAAATGTGGAGGAACGTCTCGCAGAGTTTGCTGCTGAAGATGGGTTCAGGGAGGTCTCTGAAGTACTGCTTCACCATGTCAGCCACATCAAAGGCTGACTGGCCTTCAAAGGAAACTCCATCTGGGTCCGACTCCACCATCTCACGGAGGTACTGGATCCGAGACTTCACTCCCGACTTCCGGAAAAGGCCCACCTGACAAAATGCATATAAAGATAACTCGACCAGTGAGTCTTGAATCAGTGAAAGGTTTAGACCAGGCTGTGTCCCTTCAGGTGTGCTGACCTGGTCCAAACACTTGGTCCTCAGGTACACCAGGGCTCTGAGGATGCAGGGAGGAAGTGGTTCTCCTGTCTGCTGGACACAGACGAGTAGAGGAACCCCAAACACTCGACCTTTCACCCCAATCTCCTTGGTCTTCCTCGGACTTTTAGGGACATTCCTGGAAGATCAAAAGAGCTCATTGGACTCCAGCAATCCTCAGGATTATATTTATCAGCGTGGATGTGTGCCGAGAGAAAAGTTCTAAGGATTGATGTGAACATAAATGCTGTCCAGGGAATCTCAACAAGTCAAGTGGTGAAAAGCTCCACTTGGATCCGTTTCCTTTTGAAGGGGAAATAAAAATAAACATTTTCTCATTACATAAGTCCCCAGTGAGGACGAAAAAGTGTGTGGAAGTCCAATCAGCAACGAGAGCGGAAACATGGGCGTTCAAAGAAACCCAAGAAAGAAAAACAAAAAAATTAAATTAAATTTAAAAAATCCAAAGAAATCCAAGTTCATGTTTCTGCTCCGCCAACGTTCCCAGAAACACCCAGGAAACGTTCCAGGGAACCATGGACGTAATTTTCACTTTAGAAGTGGGGGGGACACGGGGGGGGGGGGGGGGGGGGGGGTATCTTTACAGTATGTTCTAATGGGAAACAGACTTCAACACAAACGGTTGTTTTCTGCTTGGTCCTAGAGCTCAACCAGTGTCAATTTGATATAGCGTATATTGTTTTTGGATGGTAAAAAGTGCAGGGGTCAAAACTTGACTTTGGAAAAAGTGGGGGGGACATGTCCCCCCTGTCCCCACTCAAAATTACGTCCATGCAGGGAACCCCTGGAGAACGACACGACAATGATGTCACAGCATGTCGACACTGCTGCTTCTTCTGTGGCGAGACGATTTTTAATCCCTCTGGTTTTACGGCAGCTTCTCAGAGTGGCTTTTGGAAATGTAGCTTATTCTGAGAAAAGTGGCTGGGAGTGCTATCCGCGTCCCCATCAGCAGCTAAGTATGGCGTTTTTAATCATCCAGTACTTTGGGATCAGTGATTACATCATTGAAACAATAACGCTTAACCGATTGTTGAATCTTCTCCTAGTGGAACGTTTAGTCTCGGAGCGCTGAGAGGACAGTTCTTTTAAATCAACTTTCTGGATCTGACTTTGGATGAATAACATTTCCTCTCTATAACGGAATGATTTTATGAGTAAAAAAAAAAGGATGATTCCAGGGTTACGTTTCAGTTTTGGTCTGAAAGCTTGTAGGAGGATTTATCCATCCATTTTCATCCCGACTCGGGTCACGGGGTCAGCAGCCTAAGCAGAGATCCGGACTTCCCTCTCCCCAGCTGAACAAAACAGCCAGAACAAAGTTCAACCTCACATTGGACCGGCTCGCGTGGGGTTTGTGACGTAACTACAAACAAACTGACATTTATGAAAATGTTTGTGTCATAGTTTAGTCACTAAGTTCTGGATGAATGCTCCAAGTCGGGAATGATGCTTCCCAGCTGGAGATGGTAGGGTGGAGGAGAGATGGACCGTCTAATGGGGGCTAGAAAGGTTCTACCCGTTCATCTGCATCCCAACCTAAATCCCAGGTCATTTGCAGGGTGGGCTAAAGCTGCTGCTGCTCCTCATCTAAAGGAATCGTTTCAGGTATTCCAGGTCGGGATGCCTCCTGATCACCTCTCTGAAGGTTTTCCAGGTTCTGGAAAAATCTAGAATTCACTGGATGAACTATGAAATCCTGCAGAAGGAGATTTAGTGTGTCTGGGCAGAAGCAGATCTGGGTTTCCTCCACAACCAGACTTTAGACAAGCAGAGGAAATGGATGGATGAAGAAGAAAAATTAAAGTATAAAAAGATTTCAAAAATGATTAAAATTATGTTTCAATCAAACTTTATTTGTATGGCACTTTTCATACAAAAGAAAATTCAGCTCAAAGTGCTTAACAGATTAAAATGACCCAATATAACCCATATTCCCATCCCACTTGCCAGGCACACACACACACACACACACACACACACACACGCACGCACACACACACACACACACACACACACACACACACACACACACACACACACACACACACACACACACACACACACACACACACACACACACACCCTGAAAGGTTTAAAAGGAGAAAAGAAAAAATTATTTAATGTAAATGGAAGGAAGGAAGAAAGAAAGGATTTTTAAATGAAACTTATTAAACTAAATTGTGATGACTTTGAGGCACCTGAAAACGACTTTGTGACTTTTTTAGAGAAAACTATTCGTGCACGTTTCTTAACAGCGAGGCTCCACGAGTCACGCCAGGAACCCGATTCCATCTGGAAGATCTGGAGATGGTCAGGAGCCTCCATCATGAACATCGTTCTCAGTTTCTACCAACAGGAACCGATGGTTGCTGTTCTCTCCAGTCATGAAAACAAGCTTAGGGTGATTTAACTGAACTGAAAGTACAAGTTTGTTTGGTTTAAGTCGGAAAGACAAGACAGGAAGTAGAGGAAAGCTCTGAATCTAACAGAAGAAACATGATGCTCAGCCTTAAATCAGCAGAAACTCTGAAGTATAAATGTCTTCTGAACACAAAAACTCCTCACAGGCGTGCTCAGACATGATTCGTGTTCCAATAAGTCCACAAACAGCTGTTTAAAATGCTAAACCCGACTCAAAGCAGGACCGTTGAATCTTTTCTTTCTCCCAATAAAGCCTCCGCTTCTTCTCCATCTCCAAACGTGCATCTGATCCTGAAAATTAAAGAGGAAAATCTGCAAGGAGTAATTTCAGGAGCGGTTTGAGTTTAAACGCTCATTTCCCACATTCAGCCTTTTCGGAGGGAACGCAGCGCCAAAGACTAATTGGTTTTTCTACCAAAGCAGAAAGCAAGCAGGCCGCGTGCTTACGAGAGTTCAGCAGGGTAAACAAGCCTGAGTGTGTGGATGTTTACTGTTATACTCTTATTAAAAATGAATTTGTCTTCATTTTGCACGAGGACTTAAACCAAAAACAAAGTGTGAAGCCGAGACACTAATCCCCTCAAAGCCACAGACTGTGCTGATTAATGCAGAACAAACAGAAACTCCTAAACGTTCCTTCCTCATCCCGTTGGCTGGAATTACCCCTGAAGCTTCCGTCAGGTGAGTTCTGCTCCTGGATTTAATCTATTTGTTACGGATTGTAAATAAAGATGATTAATTTGGTTCGTTCTGATTTTTGGCTGTGAGAGAAAAGGCCCAGATTGTGAAGGACAGGTGTGCTCAAATCCGTCTGAGAGCCTCCAACGTTTGGTGATGCAAGTGAAACAGAAGTGATGAAATAGGAAAAGTTTGGAGAGCGGCAGCTGGGAGGTTGTGTTCGGCTGCTGAGACGGAAACAGCCGGGAGGAGCTGAGAGTCAAAGAACTGGCAGCTCCTGAAGAACGACGATCAGCTGCTTCAGCAGAACCGCGGGTCTGGTACTGAGCTGTGAGCACATTCACCGCAGAAAAGTTAGGAAAACTTTCCATGAACCGTTCTGGAGCCGACAAATCACACCGAGTGATCCTGTGACTGACAGCTGCTAGTGTCAGAGCTCATCCAGTCTGACAGGATGAGGCCATAACAGGAAATGAAATCAGAGCTGCATTTATATCCCAAGCAGCAATAGGACAAAAGACAAAAATGTTGTTTAAGCTAACAATCTGGTGAAAAATCAGTTGAATCATAAATATTCAGTAAAAAATCCTGTTAACATGTAATCTAAACCGCTTTCCACCCAATTCACACTAATTTTTTATTAGTGAAAATGAGCCGTGGCATAAAACAGGAAGCAAGTAAAAAAAAATGTTTTTCTGAAACAAAAAAATTGATTATTTTACACGTCTTCTGCTATAATTCATTTAATTCATTTGATCATATTAATCCTGTATCCTGATTCAGAATAATGGGCGGAGCCTGAGCAGGCCTCTGAAGCTGGCCAATCACAGCAAACCAGGAAGGAAGCTTCTTTAAATCTGATTTCTAATCACAAAATCTATTAATCTGGAGTTAATCTGCTTTAGAAAACTTACAGGTGAAAGATTTTAAATTAATCTCAGGACATAACTGATTAAACGAGCGGTTTCAGACAATTTCAAGATGGCCACCACAGCTAATCAACACCAGACAGCTACAGTTTAGTCTGATTTAGGGCTCTGACCATAACTCGGTTATGTCATGTTCCCGAGCCGAGGTGAGTGAAAACATCTTCCATCTCACCATTATCAGGCTGATTTCCACAGGTGAGGAGCGGAGGGGTTTGCAGCTGCAGAAGATTCCCGATCAGGAACTCGGGTATAAAAGGAGGATGGAGACACTTCACTACGCCGGATGATTGCACCAGTATAGGTAGCCCCAGCCACTCACTCTTGTTCTTGAAACTCGTATTTTGACATTCGCTTTCTGGATATTATTGGATTTTGAACTCGGACTGCATTTGGATTACGTTTTCTGGATTAGCCTCTCATCTGGTGTTTGTTTGCCTTCTCGCAGGATCTCCACACACCCTGCCTCACCCTCGCTGTTTGAACTCTGGATTACATTCACCACATCCCATCCTCCTCCGTTGTTCCTGTTTGGACCCTCTCCGCTGCCTCACCAATCCCGGATCATACCTGGACTAAACAGAGCTCACCTCGGCTCTCTCGCCTCTTCCCCCCACCCTCTTGGTTCTCCCTGAACTCAAAATGAACTCGAGCAAGTGATCTACTCCACAGGACTTCCCTGTGCTCTTTTTGTTCTCCTTATAATAAAGACTTTTACTTTAACCAGTTCCACGAGTCAGTTTCTGCATGTCTTGGGTCAAACACATACCTCGAGCCATGACAGGTTATAATTCCATTTTTGGTTATTTTTCAAAACACAGGAATGGTTTCTCGTTACCTTGCTGACAGTTTCGTTTGCGGCTGCAAACATCCTCAGGCTGACGCCGACTCCGTTAATCCGCGGGCAGCAGAGGACGTTGTCGCCCTCTGCTGCCCGCTCTCCCCTCTCCGATGATGCTGTCCCAAGCGTGATCCAACGAGTAAACTCCATCGTCTCTGTTCATGGTCCCACATCCACGCCTCCTTATCTCTATAGCTTCCTTTATCCATCTTTTGTATTTCTGTTGTTCTTTTCTTTCTGTTGTTGTTTTCCTTTGCTTATTGCCCATGTCGGGGAGAGCGGGGAGCAGAGGGCGACAACGTCCTCTGCTCCCCGCGGATAAACGGAGTAGGAAGGGACGTCACCATCAGCGTCAGCTCTGAGGATGTTTGCAGCTGCAAACGAAACTGTCAGCAAGGTAAAGAGAAACCATTCCTGTGTTTAAAAAAAAGAACCAAAAATGGAATTAGAAGTCAAACACAGCAAGAACGTACCAAAGACAACTCGGTTATGTTTCAGATGAATGAACTCATATCTGTCTGTCTGTAGAGGAGGGGTACTCAGAGTAGTTTCTGCTCGTTAAATAACAACAGACAACTACAGCTTATGAAATTGACTCTCCCATATTCTAGTCAGAATTCGCAAAGCTCCTCGGATGGGAAGCAAAACGAAAGAAGCCCGGTTGCCTCCATTCGAACCCTTTTGGATCACCATGACCTGGATGATGGAACCTTCACATGGTATCTGAAGCTGTTCCTCCTCTGGAAGGCGTCACCTCTCATCTCAGCGGTTTGTGGAGTTCTGCAGAAACATGTCTCAAAGCTGCCACCAGCAGATCTCCATGAGGCAGGACAACCTGATGCAGAATCACAGTGGAGCATTTCTTCTTCTGGATGTTTTTAAAGCTGAGGGACCTGAGTTATGAATAATGAACGAGTCTCCTAGTCGACCGGAAATATTTACTGTCTGCCCACCCACCTGCCCTTCCTCCCACAGCTGTTTGCTGGAAGAAGTCTCCTCTCTGTTCCCTGACCCCACCCCCCACCCCCCACGACACACACACACCACTCGCCCTCATGCATAAAACCCCACGATCGTCCCTCCTTACCAACTCCAGCCCTGCTTGCTGGACGGGGAGAACTTGTCCATCAGAGCGGTGAGTTTCAGCAGCGACAGCTTCTGCAGCAGAAGGATCTGGGATGCCGACTGGCTCTCCAGTCCCAGGCTGGATGGCAGGTTCTGCTCGCTGGACCACTGCAGGCGCTGGCTGGCCCTGCTGGACACACCGAGGTGATCAGACAGGAGAGGGTGGTGAAAATGGGCCTGTTCTGGAAGTTTCTGACACTGGATCAACATTACGATCAGAAATGTCAGTAAACTCTCCTCGTCTGACGGCCCTAAAATAATATTCATAAATAAAATGAAACTAGAGAAATAAAACATGAAAAATGGTCCAGTAAAGCATCACTTCCTTCTCTCGTTTATTCATTTATGGTGAATTAAAAGCTTCTGCCAAATAGAAAATAATTACGATTACTACCCTCTAATACTCCAAATATAAATTACAGTTTCAATAAAATATTTTTCAAAACGTTCCTTTTTGTTTCAAACTGCTTAAGGAGTTAATTTGGTAAAAAAAAAGTGATGAATACTTTTTATACACAAACAGAAAAAAAGGTAAAAAAAGTTACTTTTTTATAAATATAAACAAAAACACGACCTGTCAAAAAATAATAAAATAAAACCTTCAGAAGTTGTACAGAAACCTGCAGCAATCTGGATTAAACCTCGTCACGCTCACCTCCTCTGGGGTGGGGCGGGGCTGATTTTCAGGTTCTCGGGATCCTCCTCCTGACTCTCCTCCTCCTCGGGATGCTGCACCTCCAGGTGGATGTGACTCAGGGAGGAGCCGTGTGGAGGTGAGTCCTGGGAGGAGGAGGAGCTCCTCTGACCGTCGTCTTCAGACATGTTCTCAGACCAGGTGGAGACCAGCTGTTGGAGGTTGCTGATTCTCTCCAGAACGCTGTCGAGGGCGGAGAAAACGTCCTCACCTGCCATCAGTCGGCTCACCTGAGAATCAGGAGACAAATAGATGAAAGTTTCTGCTGGGAGACTCCGTTTAGGGTTCAGGAAAAAAAGTGTTTCCCTTCATAACTTCAGTGATATTCCGGGACTTTCATTCCAGCGGCAGAACCTTTAATCACCCGATTGCTCTCGTGCGTTTTCCTATTTCAGACTCGTACCTGAGGCGGTCGGAGATGACTCAGCTCTCTCAGACTCAAACAAACCTGGTATTTCAGGCTTAATGAAAAAGCTCAGACTCCTTTTGGGGCCCGTCTCACCAGAACCGACCGAATCACTTCTGTTTTATTTATAATCTCACAGCTGGTTCTGGTGCTACTCGCCGTATTGATTCAGAATAAGAAATCCGGAGCTCCTGACATGTTGGTTCTGTCGAACCCACCTCCAACTCCTCCCCGGTCCGTTCTGCATCGCTCCCTACTTCGATCTCGGACATCTGAGCGTCCTCAAGCATGTTGTCGTAGACGCTCAGCCGGTGATCCGCTGCAGCGGGTCGACCCGAGGACGAGGATGCCGGGCTCTGGTCTCTGGTGGCCAGAGAGGATGGCCCCCGTTTGGAGTCCTGCCGGCCCCGGTAACCGTGGAAACTCCCAGTCCTCCAGTTGATGGAGGAACTGTCCATGATGGGGGACAGGATGTGCTTGTGAGCGAGGGACGTGGGGAAGGTCCCGGGTTTATGTCCGTGCGGGATCTGGAACACCAGACTATCCTGGCTGCTGCTGCTGACCCGGTTCCTGGAGACCTGAAAGAGGAAACGGATCCATTAGAACGATAGATCAGGAATCTTTCTCCTATATCCACAGCAGTGGGACCTGGTCTGACCTCTGTGTCCGTGTGGCTCTGGTCTTTGTGGATCGTTCCAACACCGCTGTTGGAGCGTTTGCAGTTGCTCCTGACCCGAGCGACAGGGCTGGGTGTGCTGACGGTGCTGCTGTCCTCTGATTGGCTGCTGCTGCTGCTGATGGTGCGAGGCGATGAAGGTGATGAAGACGAGCGGCTGTTGGAGCGGGCCTGCAGACTAACGTCCACCAGAGACACAGACAGAGACGCTTAAACAGCAGTTTGACACCATGTTGATAAGAGATGCTCAGAGGGACAAGAGTCCTCACTTTGACGGGCAGAGCAGCCTGTCTGTCCTCCCCGCGTCCCGGACCAGATCCGGTCTGCTCATGCGGCGCCGGTTCCTGTGGGCTAGGCCCCCCCTCAGCCTCAGCTTCTCCATCTTCCTCAGCAGAGTAGTGCACTTTCTCCTGGGGGGTTGTTCAGCCTCCAGACTCACGGAGGACGATCCTCCTTCAGGAGATGGAGGTCCACTGAGAGACGTATCCATGGACGGAGCTTTGTTTGTGGAGGAGCAGTGGGAGGAGCTCCTGTTGGCCTCCTGCTCGTCTGCCGCGCTGCCGGTAATGATGGTGGGAACTCTGCGGCCCTCGTCGTGGTCTTCGCTGTCCACGGAGCTGATGTCATCAGGCCGAGACACGTCCTGATGTCCAGCTGGACACGCGGACAGGTGAAGGACCTCGTCATCAGAGTCGAGGCGCCTCCACTGTCGGGTCTGCTGGTCGTAGGTCCAGTTGGGACTGATGGCACATGAGTCCTCCTCATCCCAGTCGTCTCCCTAAATAAAGAAACAGAACATTGAAATTGGGAATAATTTTGTCCTTATTAGCCCTAATAACAGAACAGGAGACGTTGGACAGGAGAGTCCAAAAACATCAAACTAAAGGACCATCCATCCATCATCTTCTGCAGGAGGGAACCGATCCAGACAAGCAGTCCAGACTTCTCCATCTCCTGATCAGTCCAGTCCCAAGGCATTCCCAGGCCAGGGAGGAGAGAGTTCTAGTCTATTCCAGAGTCTCTTTCTGGTGTCTGGAAAACCGCCAGAGACACGAGCAGTAAGTTCACTTCATTATGCATATTAGTTAAAAACAGCAGATGGAGTCATGGACTTGTGTCTGACTTTAGAGAAATCCCCAGCCTAAGCAAGCATGTAGCGACAGTGGAGAGGAAAACTCCCCTTTAACAGGAAGGAACCTCTGACAGAACCCGGATCAGCGTGAGCAGCCACTCACAGGTAGTTTGGGAATTTTAGGGACTAATCTCTGCTCTTTGGAGATGGTCACCTGTTCTCCAGGCTGTGGCCCTCAACAGATGGGATTAGTGCTTGTTTCTCTGAGCCTGAGATCCTCAAACAGAGGAGTTCTGGTTTTCCTGAGTGATGATGGGATGAAGGACAGACGGAGGATGGATGAGCCGTCTAAACATCTCAAATAAACATTTTCAGGTGTCCTCCTGAGAGAAGGAGCACCAGACAGCCGATATCTTCAGGCTCCACCCACTCACCTTGTGTTTGGACCTCCACAGCTCCAGCCTCATTTCCGTGCATTTATTCAAAGTTATTAACCTCCTAAAGCAAAAGGAAAAAGGTGCGGCGTCGTTAGGAAGAACTTTGGTTTTCCCACAAATGAAAACTAAGCAGCTGAATAATTTGGATAGTTTAACAACTTGAACATTTTAACTTGTTTGTTTAATGTTGAAAACGAGAGAGAAGATGTTTTCTTCTGCGATAAGAAAACAAACGATGTCACCATGAAGGGTTTGTTCACCTGCACAGCGAACCGAGTGAGTCTTCATCCAGGAAGCGGTGATCGTTTTTGGCCGTCTTGATGTCGATGGGAAACCTGCAATCTGACACCAGACAACGTTGCTAGTCTCAGTTAGTCTGGCTGGAAAACAAACAAACAAACAAACAAACAAACAAACTCCTGTTTACCTTTAAATAACTGAACATACTGAGGGAAGCCGGCGGCTTGCAGCCAATCACAGGCCTCTCTGGCTTCGATCTCTGCAAAACCAGAGAAGGGAAACAGAGCCAGATTACATTATAATCTGGTCATGAACCAAGTTACAATAATCCTGTTTATGGGGTTTATTTACATTTTCATGTCAAAAGGAGGAATAAGACTGGAATCACATATTTATAATTATTATCTGGAGAATGCTGAGACCTTTCTGGTAATCTCATTGGCTCTCGTTATTTTAAACTCCAGGATTATCACAAAGACCAGAACAAATCCAGTCGGGTTCAGGAGCACGGTGGGGTTTCAGCCCAATTTTAGACATTTTCTTTATTCTTTGGACTTTATTTTCCACTTGTCATAGAAATTTGATGCATTCCTGACTACGTTTTTTGGTTTACTGTAGTTATTCTGTTTGCTAGTAATTTGCTCTCATTTAATTTGCAATCTGGTCTCCAACCCCTCTCAAAACTCTCACATTTCTCAGAATTTTGGGTTAAACGGAACTGGGTTCCAGATGCCTCGGACGAAGTCTTTCTGCTCAAATCCGAGAATGTTTGTGAACAACTGCAGACGTTTGAGACCCATTCAGTTCAGAGGTAAGAAATGGGAGACAGCTTTGGGAGGGGTTGGTGAATGAAATGCAAATAAATTCAGACCAAATGAACATGACTAAATTAAATGGCACAACTATTGCAGTTTATTTGCCGTTACCTCACATGTGCATCTTTCCCTGACATAAAAAAACGTGCGGCTGAAACGTTGAACATAATCAAATGGGAGTTTTCAACTCCTAAAGGGAGACCCAGGACACGTTGGAGGGACTATGTCTCTCACCTGGCCAGGGAACGCCTTGGGATTCCCCCAGAAGAGCTGACCCAAATGGCTGGGGAGAGGGAAGTCTGGGCCTCTTGACTTAACCTGCTGCCCCGCGACCCGACTCCGGATAAGCGGATGAAAATGGATGGATGGATGGATTCAGTCTTAACTACATTCAACAATAATATAAATGCAACACCTTTGTTTCTGCTCCGATTTTTCATGAGATGGACTTAAAGATCTAAAATTCATTCCAGATACACAATATCACCATTTCTCTCAAACATTGTTCACAGATCAGTCTAAATGTGTGATAGTGAGCACTTCTGCTTTGCTGAGATAATCCATCTCACCTCACAGGTGTGCCACATCAAGATGCTGATCTGACATCATGAGTAGTGCACAGGTGTACCTTAGACTGCCCACAATAAAAGGCCACCCTGGAATGTGCAGTTTTGTCTCACAGCAAAATGCCACAGATGCCACAAGCATTGAGGGAGTGTGCAATTTGCATGCTGACAGCAGGAATGTCAACCAGATCTGTTGCTCGTACATTTAATGTTCATTTCTCCACCATAAGCCCAAAGGCATTTCAGAGAATATGGCAGTACATCCAACCGGCCTCACAACCGCAGACGACATGTAACCACACCAGCCCAGGACCTCCACATCCAGCAGGTTCACCTCCAAGATTGTCTGAGACCAGCCACTCAGACAGCTGCTGAAACAATTGGTTTGCATAACCAAACAATTTCTGCACAAACTGTCAGAAACAGTCTCAGGGAAGCTCAACTGCATGCTCGTTTTCCTCATCGGGGTCTTGACCTGACTCCAGCTTGTCACCGTAACAGACTTGAGTGGGCAAATGCTCACATTCGATGGCGTCTGGCACGTTGGAGAGGTGTTGGTTTACATTGTTCAGGGCAGATGGCAGACAGCTTGTGTGGCGTCGTGTGGGTGAGCGCTTTGCTGATGTCAATGTTGTGGATCGAGTGGCCCATGGTGGTGGTGGGGTTATGGTATGGGCAGGCATCTGTTATGGACGAAGAACACAGGTGCATTTTATTGATGGCATTTTGAATGCACAGAGATACCGTGATGAGATCCTGAGGCCCATTGCTGTGCCGTACATCATGAACATCACCTCATGTTTCAGCAAGATAATGCACGGCCCCATGTTGCAAGGATCTGTACACAATTCTTAGAAGCTGAAAATGTCCCAGTTCTTGCATGGCCAGCATACTCGCCGGACATGTCACCCATTGAGCATGTTTGGGATGTGCTTGACCGGCGTATATGACAGTGTGTACCAGTTCCCACTAATATCCAACAACTTCACACAGCCATTGAAGAGGAGTGGACCAACATTCCACAGGCCACAATTGACAATCTGATAAACTCTATGCGAAGAAGATGTGTTGCACTGCATGAGGCAAATGGTGGTCACACCAGATACTGACCGGTTCTGAGTCCCCAGACCCCCAATAAAGAAAAAAAAATCTGCACATCCCAGGGTGGCCTTTTATTGTGGGCAGTATAAGGTACACCTGTGCACTACTCATGATGTCAGATCAGCATCTTGATGTGGCACACCTGTGAGGTGGGATGGATTATCTCAGCAAAGCACAGGTGCTCACTATCACACATTTAGACTGATTTGTGAACAATGTTTGAGAGAAATGGTGATATTGTGTATCTGGAATGAATTTTAGATCTTTAAGTCCATCTCATGAAAAATCGGAGCAGAAACAAAGGTGTTGCGTTTATATTTTTGTTGAGTGTAGTTCTAACAGCTCGGTGAGAATCTGGCTTCAGACATTTACCAGAGCGGTGAGCTGCTTTATAAACAAAAACCATAACAGAAAAGCGTAACCTGAAACCTTTAGCTGCACGTGATTACGTCACCTGAACCAGAGCCATAAAGGCTCAGTCCAGTTCAGTGTTTCAGAGGAAAATATTCTAGTTAGCTTAAAAAATTTAGGCACAAAGATCTCCGTCAGTCTGGCTGCTCCGCTCAGCTCAGGGCGAGGATCTGGATTTCAAGACATTTCAAAATATTAGTCCACAGTTATTCTCCCTGAAACATTAAACTTGCAGCTCAGAGAAAGATGCCAGGAGTATTTCTTGTTTCATATTCAGACAGCATGCAATATGGCAGACATTAGTCTGCACCAAGGAACAACAACAGCTTTCAGCCCATGAAGGTGGAGTCTTCAAACACCGTTTTACTCTTATAAATACTGCCTCGTTATCACTCCAGCTCCGTAGCACATAGGAATCTCTTTCCCATTTTATTTTATGCCAGTTTTAAAAACTGCCTGAAATTTCCTCGACAGCAGAGCGAAAAGTCGCCCTTTCGACCCCTCGAGGCTCAACAGAACAGCGGCACAACGCAGATGGCTCGGATACGTAAACAGAAATCCAACCAGCATGGAAACTTTTAAACTGACAATGGAGGAGGAAATTCCTTCTGAAAGGAAACACAGAGTAGATTTGTTCTGACTCATCATCTGACTGGATAACGACGTCCTGAGCCCACTCCTGCACCACGCTGGAGATGTGACATCTGAGATAGTAAAGGGATCAAGCGAAGCCGGCTCACATGTCCGGGAGAGAATCCGTAAATCCAGGGAAGTGTGGACAGTTAGAGCGTTGAAGCACTCTCCATGTCACTCCGAGCGCCGCTCAGATCCATCATTACGAGCACTGAAAATCACGGCCCGTCACTCTGAAATCACAAGGCTCACCGGGTAAAAGGTTTGGCGTATAAACCAATTTTCCACCTCTTACAGGTCCTAATAGCAACAGAGAAGGTAAGCGTAGAGAAACTGCTCCTGAGGTGAAAGCAGAAATCTTTAATCATTGTTAGAAGAAAATGATCTTCAGAGGCTTCAGAGGATCCACCAAAATTAAATAACCTGAAGTAAAACCGTCAACTGGACCTGGGGGTGTGTTAGTCCCACCGAGAAGACAAACGGTGTTCAGATTAATTATGGAGCAGATTTTACGCTTCAGATGATCTGAGGTGTGTGTGCTTGTCTGAGACTCTTATTGTGAAGGAATAAAGGAAGTTCTGAGTCCCGCCGTGCACACTGCTACAGGATAGCACCTCATAACTCTAGAAAACCCTTATTATTATTTTTACTGACATAGACCAACATACTACTAATGCTCCTTGGATCGGGCGATTTAGAGCGCATTTTTTATTTTTTCCCTTGCAAATTCCCAAAAACACAAACATTGATGAGGATTTAAGGATTGTAAGAACATTTAAAATCGTTGGAAATTAATTGACTTGGCAGAAAAATTAGTAGTTTTTTCACCACTACACAGGAAGACGGTGACTTCTTTGCTTTGTTGGTCAACAAACGAGCTAACCAGACGAGTTTGTCCCTGAAGAAAGGGCTGAAAGGTGAATCGTTTGTTTATTTGAGACGTTTTTGTGTGAATAGCTGAATATCGTTGCTTTTCTGAGGTTGTCACAGTTCTTCAAAAACAACCAGATGTGTCGATAGAGGTTTATAAAAAAAAGATTTAAAGTCTATAAAAATGAAAGCTGAAGAAACAAACAGCTAAGACAGAAGAGTCTGTTCTCTGGTGACGTAAACAATAAAGGAGGATGTAGACAATCGCTGAGAGCTGAGCAGGTAATGAACCAAATCCACGTCCGACTTAATTATGACATGAATGTTGAACTCGGCGAGGAAAGCAGCATTCCAGACTGTCGGGGACAACAATGCTCCGTGTTTGGTGAAAGACTCCAGCTCCCACTTCCAGGGCCCTCTCACCCAGCCCTGCTTTAATGTGCTATCTGCTGGACTTTAACCACAGCAGGACATGGCCGCTTCCTGTTTCAGATCACGTTGTCTCTGAGGAAGTCGTGGTCTGACCCCTCTGGACCCTGATAAGAGATTTGGATGTCTGATTAGGACAACTCCACCCAGTTTTCACAGGAAATGGCGTGGACGCTGCTAGAGACTGTGCATGATGGGTGGGTTACATGCTCCGTGGACCGTTTGTGTCCCGGCATTTATCTTTGGACACCAAAAGCTGTTAGCAGGAATAAATTAAAATAATTGAGTTTTAATACCATCTAGGTATGTTATGTGGGTCTAAAAGACATCGGGTTTGGACCGTTTAGGGCTCATTATGTTGATAGATTCACAAAAACTGGAACGTCATTTCAGCACTATCATAGCACTGAAACTGCATTAGTGAGAGTTACAAA